TGAGTCTCTCCCCAGCCCAGGCGACACCGTTGCTACCAGCCTGTGCTGCACACTTTGCACAGTCAGTCATGCGTCCTGCAACGCAGGTGAGATCGGCCAACGTGTTAGTGAAATAAACAATTGCCGGGAAAATGACAGTGGCTTCTGCAAGTGGTAATGATCAGCACGGAAGCCGGTCAGCTTAGAAACTTAATTTTCATCCAAAATGATGCATTTCTGAGGGGCACTGGTCTTGGAGTCACCTTGCTCCCAGGGGTCATGGTCACCTCCAGCCCTGTGCACCCTGGCCCTCGGCAAGGCTGGAGGGGAGTCTTGTCCGCTCTATGGAAAAGGGGCTCTGTGTTCACAGTTCCCTCCCGTGGCTATCACACCTGCGGCCTCAGGTACGATACTGCAGTGGTAACCGACCCTGCGACAGCGTTTGAAGATGAGCAGGATTGCTTGTCCCTGCCACCATCGTCTCAGCTTGCACAGCCCCAGGCCTAAATTCCCACAGAACGTGACATTCCACTGCGGGATTATGCGCAGTGGCTGTCTTGCTATGAGCAGCAAGTCGACACAGCTGCAGGTGGGGAGACCCTGACCTGAGGTGCAGGCGCCCCGCAGGCCCCCACAAAGGCAGCTTCCCCTCCAGCCAGCGCCCGTTCCCTGAACAACACATTTGCTCCCCAAAATCACACAGTGGCTCGGCACAAATAAAGAGGGAATGATACATATGCATAAAGGTGTCTGGATTCCCGGAGCTGCCGCGTAACAGCCGGCAGCCGCGAGACCTCAGGAGAATGCTGTCCCCTGATCATGACCGCGATGTGGGGCAATCCACACAGAGGGCTTTTGTTGTGTGTTTTCTCTCCGTGCGTGAATTTTTCTGTGTCCCAGACAGGCCACGAGAGAATGACAGTGCTAAGGCTGAGCGCCTGGGAGGAACGCAGGAGAAACACGGGCCGCTGTGCCTCGGTGCAGACCCGCAGCGGCCGTAATCGGCTGCAAGTTTGATTTGGAGCTGCCAAGAATCGTTCCCCCCGAAAGCTGTCTCTTTTGTGAGATGCTGCTACACAGGGTCTTACGGCATTGCCAGCGGCTTTGCGGACAACCCTGTTAGAAGCCCTGCACCAAGATCCAGTTATCGGGCTGTTGTTATGGGAACGGTACAATCACGGGCAAACTGAAGCGGTGGTGGGGGACCTAAAAGGAAGAGGATTGGGGGTGGGCAAAATTGATATTTTTGTCCACACACATTCTGGCTGATCACCCGCGCTGAAAGTGAACACCAATCACAACAGGTAGCAGTTACCCTGCCTGGCTCTGCAGTCGAAGCCGGGGGAAGGATTGCCGTGAAGAGGGGAAATATCACAGCCTCTTCTTTTTTGTGATTTTTTGAAAACACTATAATTGTGCATAGGAGCAGGAAGTTCATCGATGTTCAGAGATTCTGTGTTGCCTCTTCACTTTTGTTGCCCGAGTTAAAACACACCCGAAATATGTAATTTTGCAATTTAAGTTTTTTGATTGAAACACCTAAAGTATTGGTAAGTAAGCTTCCAAAGGGTTGTTATTATGATCCAGGCTTAATACAGTTATCAAGCAAACGCCTGGTGAGGAGTTAATTAAGATAACTGGAATGCCACGGCATCTGTGCGCTGTGGAGCTGCACTTGCCCTTCCGAGCTCTGCGCAGGCAGGAGACCACTTCCCGTAACGGCGCCCTGAGTCCACACTCGCTCTCCTCCTTCCGCCCCGGAACCGCGGAGGAAAGGGTAAAAGTATTTCTGAAGACTTCACTGCTTTGGGAAGCATGTCGAGGCCTGGGGCGTGAAATCCTGCATGACAGGGGTCACGGAGCCCCCCGCCCCACGCCGTGCGTTCCAGCACTGAGCGTGGCCTGGGGAGGGCTTTCCCCGTCACGAGAAGAGACCGAAACACGGCAACAGCGGCCCAGGGCAATCAGCTGAGTGGCAGCACGGAACGGGGGCATCCGTGGAGCTGAGCTGGTGTCAGATCACATCCCACCATGGCCCTGTGGGCCCCCAGTACGAGGCACGGCCACTCTGTGACTCGGTGGGCTCCATGGAGGCGGCTGCAGGACTGCTGGTCAGACGGCGGTGACTCCAGAGAGAGGGAACACACACACACACACACACACACATACACACATATGCATACACACACATGTATCACACACATACACATACATATACACTCTCACGTATACACACTGCACACACAAACATACACACATACACATACTCACATATATACATCCACACACTCTAACATATACACACTGCACACACAAACATATATACACACTCCCTTTCACACACATACACATACTATACACATAAACATATACAGACACATCCACACACATCCACATGTATCACACACATACACACACATATACATCCACACACTCTCACATATACACACTGCACACACAAACATATACACACATCCACACACTCACATACACACATACACACTCTCACATATACACACTGCACACACAAACATATACACACATCCACACACTCACATACATACACACATACACATACTATACACATAAACATATACAGACATCCACACACATACACATGCACACATATACATACACACACATACACACACCATGCACATAAACATATCCACACACATACCACATACCCACATATTCCCCACATGCGCATACACACACCTACACACATAAACATAGACACATACCACACACATGCATACACATGCACAAACATCACACACACACACACACACACACACACACCCCTTCTATTCAAGGTGAGTTTCCAGACTGGAATTCCAAAGCACCTGCTGCAGAGGATGGAAGCAAACTTCCCTGCACTGGAAATGCAAATGTGCCCGCACTCTGCGGGGGACCTGACCTGAGCATAACCCTGATCCTCGGAGATCAAGGCGCAAACGCTGGCGCCCAGAGCAAGACCCAATCACGGACAAACCCTTGGCAGATAAGGATGAAGAAAAAAGCTTTTAAAAATGGAAAACCCAACCAAAAAGAAAGAGGGAAAAAGAAATTTTTTTAAAAAATTGAAAAACCCCTGGAGTAGACAGCTCCACTTATGGGAATACGGCTGCCCACAGCAACCAGAGGCCAACAGGAAAGAACGGGGCAGCTGCTCCCGCGGTAGCCTCCGGAAGGAACCAGCTCCACGGAGGTCTTGATCTCACACCAGGGACTCCGTCTCTGTTGTCCCAAGTCACCTAGTTTCTGGTCATTGGTCACGGCAGTCCTGGCAAACTGAGACAGATGCGAACTGAGGTGACATGGATGTTGGGATTATCTGACAAAGATTTTTTTTAAAGATTTATTTATCTGGGAGCCAGCGCTGTGGCGCAGCAGGTTAATGCCTTGGCCTGAAGCACCAGCATCCCATATGGGTGCTGGATTGAGTCCCGGCTGCTCCTCTTCCAATCCAGCTCTCTGCTGTGGCCTGGGAAAGCAGTAGAAGATGGCCCAAGTCCTTGGGCCCCTGCACCCGCATGGGAGACCCGGAAGAAGCTCCTGGCTCCTGCCTTTGGATCGGCACAGCTCCTGCCATTGCAGCCATTGGGGAGTGAACCAATGGACAGAAGACTTCTCTCTCTGTCTCTACCTCTCTCTGTAACTCTGCCTTTCAAATAAATAAAATAAATCTTTAAAAAAAGATTTATTTATCTGTTTGTAAGGTAGAGTTACATAGAGAGGGAGAGACAAAGAGAGAGGGAGAGTTCTCCCAAATGCTGGTTCACTCACCAAATAGCCACAAAAGCTACGGCAGGGCCAGGCTGAAGCCAAGAGCCTAGAATTCCATTCCAGTCTCCCACGTGGGTACAGAGGCCCAAGGACTTGGGCCAGCATCTGCTGCTTTCCCAGGCACATGAGCAGGGAGCTGGATCGGAAGTAGAAACAGCCAGTGCTCATATGGGATGCCAGCGTCACAGCCTATGGCTTGGCCTGCTGCACCACAATGCCGACCCCTACCTGACAAAGACTTTAAAAAACTCCATTACAGGATGCTTCAGTGTGCAATTCTGAACACCCTTGAAATGAATGGAAATATAGAAAGTTTCAGGACAAAAACAGAAGATATTTTTTAAAAAGAAAAATTAAAAAAAAAAACTTACAGCAACCAAAATAAAAATTACTTAACAAAAGAATGAAAACGACAGAGGAAAGCATTAGTGAACTTGCAGGAAAAATGGGAGTCAGCCACTCAGAGCAGCAGAGAACAGACACTGGAGAAAGCAGAAGAGAGCCGCAGGGGTCTGGGAGCTAGGACGGAAGATCTAGCATCCGTGTCCTCAGAGCCCGGGAGAGAAGACGTTGGGAGAGAACACGCTCCCACACTTGGCAAAAAACATCACATTTCAAATTTAAGAATCTGAGTAACCCCAATCAGGGTAAACTAGAAGAAAACCAGGTCACAGTCAAGTTTGTGAAAACCCTGATTATAAAACACAAGAAAAAAAGAAAGCGGAGAGACACAGGGAGACTTTGCCTACGGGGAGAAGTTTGCACGCTGGTCGACTTCCTGCCAGACGCCACAGACGTCAGCAGGAAGCGGCACGGCGCTTTTTGTGAGCTGTCGATCTGGAATTCTGCATCCGGTGACCGGATCCTCCAGGAATGGAGGGACAGCCGGGTAGCAGAGCTCGCCTGCCTGTGCCAGAGAGGAGGCTCACAGACAGCCTCCCCGCAGGAAGGAACGGGGGCAAGGTGTCTCGGACAGGAAAGACAAAGGAACGCAATAGGCCTGCTTTTTCTCTTGCATTTTCTGAATTATTCTTTATGGCTGAAGCAAGAATTGTAACTCTGATGTCATTCTTTTTTTTTTTTTTTTATTTGACAGATAGAGTTAGACAGTGAGAGAGAGAGAGAGAGAGACAGACAGACAGAGAAAGGCCCCCCTTCCGTTGGTTCACCCCCCAAATGGCCGCTACGGCCGGAGCTACGCCAGGAGCCAGGTGCTTCTCGTGGTCTCCCATGCCAGTGCAGGGCCCAAGCACTTGGGCCATCCTCCGCTGCACTCCTGGGCCACAGCAGAGAGCTGGACTGGACGAGGAGCAACCGGGACTAGAACCCCGCACCCATATGGGATGCCAGCGCCGCAGGTGGAGGATTAACCAAGTGAGCCATGGCACCGACCCCTCTGATGTCTTTCTTAAGGAATACAGAGACGACTTCATCATAAATGTGAGGGCACAAAAGAACATTAAAAGAATTAAGATTCCACGTTCTACAATCTGATAAAATATCAGCACCAGCAGACAGTGAAATGTTACATGTATATAATGTAACACCTAGAGCAACAACCAAGAAATGTACAAAGCACTATAAATCAGTCAATCAAGATGGAATTGCCAAAAATGATCAAACAACCAAAAGAAAACTGGGCAAAATAGGAATTAAAAAAAGGAAACAGACTCCAAGTTTCAGCTGTCACACGTAAAAGGCTCAGAAGATTTCACAGTAAGAAAAAAGCTGAACAAACTGAAAATCAACAAAACCAACATCACGGAAGTGAGGCCCCGGGGCCAAACGCTGCCTTGAAGTTCGGAGACTCGGGTGAACGCGAAGAGTAACCTCATGGCCGTGGAGAGCAGAGGCCGCTGGGCCAGGGCCTGATCACTGGGGGGAGTCGCGCTCCGACTGCCGGAGGCCCAGGCCCAGGGGCCCCACTCGACCTCCAGGAGACTCCGCAGGTTCTCTCTGTGCGGGTTGGAGAAGATTCCAACATGCTCGAGGCAGCCAAAGCAAAAAGCCATCATCTAAAAATACTCATAGGAAATTCTGTTCTCAACAACAAATCCTGCTCCCAGGGGACACCTACCATCTTCTCAGATGGAGGGCCAGGGCAGTGGCATAAGCCGGCCCCACTCTGGTGTCCATGTCTCGCATAAGAGGAGAAAAAACAGAGAAGGAGAGATTCCTCTGAAGGTCGCAGCCCAGGACTCCGACAGGCTCTGAAAAACACCCCCGAGACCTAATCCTATGATTACAGCTGTCTCTGCTCCTCAGGGTCTCCCCACCTCACCAGCGGGACTCAGGATAACAGCAGTGGGGCACACCTGAAAGACACAGACTTTCTAAAAGGAAGTTTCTAGGGAAACCCAAAGGAAAAAACTAAACACACTGGAAGAGATGGAAGCTTCGGACGTCTGCCCAACCCTCAGCCCGATAAACACAAAACCTCACACCGAAGCCTGTTGACCTCATCTCCTATTACCTGACGCATCATGTCTGACTTTGCAAAAAAATTACAGGCTGGCTAAAAGGCCAGAAACACACACATACACACTCACACTCACACACACACACACACACACACACACGAGACAGGCAGGGTCAGGACCAGACTCAGATGTGATACAGATGTTGAAATCATTAGGCTGGGAATTAAAAGTGGCTGTGGTTACTATGGTAAGGGATTTAATACAGGAAATGGACAACATGCAAGAACAGGTGGGTGATGGAAGCAGCGGGCAGTCAGAAGGAACTGCTGGAGACAGAAAATGCTGGGACAAAAATGAAGAATTCCTTTGCTGGGTCCATCTACTGTAGACCGGACACCATCGTGGAGAGAATCAGTGAGCTTGAAATATGCCTGTAGAAATGTCCTAAACTGAAATGAGAGAGAGAGAGACACAATGAATTTTTAAAAAAAAAACAAATTTTCACAAACAGTGAGACCATTGCAAAAGAGGCAGCATCGTGTGGTGGGAATATCAGAAGGAGAAGAAACAGGAAATGTGTGAAGTGCTAACAGATGAGAATTTTCCAGAATTAATGACTGTGACCGACAACAGTTCCAGGAACCTCAGGAAATACCCAGGAGGGCAGGTTACAAAAAGTGCACCCAGGCACGTCGCATTCAAAGTGAAGGAAACGAAAGGCAAAGACCGAATCTTGACTTGAGCTGGAAGAAAATACCTTACCCTGCACAGGAACAAGGATAAGAATCACATGCGACTTCTCTCAGGAACTGTGCAAGCAGTGACGTGAAACAGACCGAAGGAAAAATCCACCCGGCTGGACTTCTGCACACAGCGACACAGGGAAGAAGAGAGGTGGGTGTTTGGCCCATGCGGGGTCCGCGTCCCCTCCCAGGCTGCCTGGGTTCCACGCCCAACTCTCCTCCCGGTTCGAGCTGCCTGCCGATGCCCGTGGTCAGTGACATGCGTGGCCACAGTGTTCTGAGGGTCGTGAGGGAGCCATTGAGAGCGTTCTGTTCCGAGGGCCCTGCACAATCTACTGCACAGATTCATCATCATTTACTGGATCAGGAGCAGGAGGCGGCGTTATTTGAGACGGGACCTGGAGTAGTGGCAAATGCGTTCTGTAAGCACCGAAATACCTCCTAAAGGAAGAATGGCTGACATGCCAACAGAGGAGGGAAAATGGAGTCTTGCAAGATGTTTAGCTAAAGCCCTACAACGTGTAAAAGGGGAGAGGCGTGGGGTACAGCAGTTGGGCTGCTGCTTGGGGGGCACCTGCGTCCCATATTGGAGCGCCTGGTTGGAGTTCCAACTCTGCTTCCAACTCTAGCTTCCTGCTAATACCTTCTGGGGGGCAGCAGACGATGGGGCAAACATCTGGGTCCTTGCCACCCACCTGGGAGACCTGGGAGAGGTTCAGACTGCCAGCTTCAGCCTGGACCAGCCCTTTTGTAAGGGCTGTTTAAGCCCTGTTTTAAGCCTTTTGGGGGGAGTGAACCAGTGGATGGAACATCTCTTCCTTCCTCTGTCTCTAACTCAGTGTGTGTGGGGTTTTCTGCCTTTTAAATCAAGTGAAAAATAAGTACAAAGAATTATAAGAGGTCAGAAAAAAAAGGGGAACCGAAAAATAAAAACAAAAGGAACAGGGCTATAAATAGAAAGTTATCTCTAAGTACGACAGATATCAACCCAACTATTAAAACTTTAAAAAGCCTCATTCTCATCCCTGTTACTTTCACCCCAGCCCCCTAAACTTCATGGATAATTTCTCTCATTGATTTCTGGTTTATCTTTCCTGTATTCCTTTTCAGAAAAAAAAAATGCACTCACATAGAGACGCATGAAACCCAGCAGGTGGTCACGTCCCCTGGTGCGCGGCTCCTTTCTGCTTAACAATATATCCTGGAAATTGTTCCAGCCGAGTCCCTAGAAACCTTCCTCACGATTGTACCTTCCTCACGGCTGTTTCCAGCCGCGTAGCAATCTACTGCACAGATTCATCATCATTTACTGGATCAGCCTGCTCTGAATGGCATTCGGGTTGTTTCCAGTGGAAACCAGGGTTCGGTAATGGGCTTACTCGTCCGTTGTCTCCTACCTGTGGAGGAGTGTTTGCAGGGCCAACTCCTCCGCGTGGGGTGGGTCAGTGAGGTGAGGGGCGTACAGATTCCCGGCTGTGGGCTTTATGCATTTATTTATTTATTTATTTATTTTGACAGGCAGAGTGGACAGTGAGAGAGAGAGACAGAGAGAAAGGTCTTCCTTTGCCGTTGGTTCACCCTCCAATGGCCACCGCGGCAGGCACGCTGCGGCCGGCACACCGCGCTGATCCGATGGCAGGAGCCAGGAGCCAGGTGCTTTTCCTGGTCTCCCATGGGGTGCAGGGCCCAAGCACTTGGGCCATCCTCCACCGCACTCCCAGGCCACAGCAGAGGGCTGGCCTGGAAGAGGGGCAACCGGGACAGAATCCGGCGCCCCGACCGGGACTAGAACCCGGTGTGCCGGTGCCGCTAGGTGGAGGATTAGCCTAGTGAGCCGCGGCGCCAGCCCGGCTTTATGCATTTTGCACTTACCCAACAACGGTGCAAGGGCTGCCCCAGCAACCTTCCTAACAGAGGGTTGAGATCATCTACATCTGCAAAGTGAACGGTAAGGAATGGAACCCCGGGGCCGGCGCTGTGGCGTAGTGCGGAATGCTGCCGCCCGCAGTGTTGGCTTCCCAGGTGGGCGCTGGTTCGAGACCTGGCTGCTCCACTTCTGATCCAGCTCTCTGTTATGGCCTGGAGGAGGGCAGAGGAGGATGGCCCGAGTGCGTGAGCCCCTGCATCCGCATGAGGGGACCCAGACGAAGCTCCTGGCTCCTGGCTTCAGAGAGGCCCAGCTCTGGTCATTGCAGCCATTTGGAGGGTAAACCAGTGGATGGGGGATCTCTCTCTCTCTGCCTCTGCCTCTCTGTGACTCTGCCTTTCAAAGAAATAAATAGTTGCAAAAAAAAAAAAAAAAAAAAGAACTGGGATGTCACGTGGTTTCAATTTCTATTTCTCGTCTTTTCCTGTGTCTGAATGGCCTATTTTATCCCAGCTTTCGTGAACTGTGCATTTCTGTCCTCTGCTCACTTTTCAATCGAGATTTTGGCCTTTCCTAATTGAAGACGTGCATTAGGGAGATCAGCCCCTTATCTCTACTGCGTGTTATAATTATGATCCCCAGTGACTCAGTTGCCTGTTTTGGTTTTGTTTATATTGATTTTTTAAAAAAATATTTAGTTTCTTTATTTGAAAGGCAGAGTGACAGAGAGAGAGAAAGAGAGCTTCCATCCACTGGTTCACTCCCCGAAAGGCTGCATCAGCCAGGGCTGGGCCAGGCCAAAGCCAGGATCCAGAAACTCCTTCCTGGTCTCCCACGTGGATGGGAGGGGCCCGAACTCTTGAGCTGTCTTCCGCTGCCTTCCCAGGCATACTAGCAGGGAGCTGGATTGGAAGGAGAGCACTCCAATACGGGACACTGGCCTCTGAGGCAGTGGCTAAACCCACTGTGCCACAATGCCAGCCTCTACGTTGATTTTTCTAAAAATCACGCACACAAATTGTCAATCTTTCAATGTTTTGGAACTGGATTTTGTCTACCATAGACAGGATATCTGCTTGCACCGATTATAAATGAATTCATCCATCATTTTAAAAGCACTTGTGTGGTTTCGTTATTTACATTTAGATTTCTAGGTCGTTGTAGTTGTGTTCTAGTTTACGGTGTGACAAAGGGATCTAATTTTATCCTTTTTCAAATACCTATGACAAAACCATTTGTCACGAAGTCTGTCTCTTCTCCAGGTATGGAGACGTCCCGTGGACCACAGGCTACATTTTGACATGTGCCCGTGTCTATTTCTAGACTTCTATTTCACTGGTCTTTATGCATCAGTGCCACATTCTTAGTAGAGTTTTTCTCTTTTTATGGCTTTCCTATTTTTGTATGTTTATCTTTCCATTTGGGCATTCAAACCAACTTATTTAACTCCAGAAAAAAAAGTTGGCATTTTTATGGATTGTAATAAGTGTACGTATCAACCCGGGGAGCACTGACATTTTTATGCCGTCGAGCCTTCTTGTCCAAGAACAAGGGCTGTCTCTCCAACTGTCTCCTTTGTTATAAATTTCACATCTCACAGCGAGCAGGATGAATTCACACAGACAATGTTGGTGAAACTGCAGACTACGAAGAATAAACAGAAAAAGGCTCAGACCTACCAGCAGGATACACTTACAAGACAAAGACAATTAGCCAGCCATCTCATCAGCAACATTAAATGCCAAGAAGCATAAAACAACAGAGGAAGAATAACTGGCAATCTAGAATTCTATACCCTGATGAGCTATCATGCAAGACATGAGGCCAAAGAAAGATATTTTCATGCCTAAAAAGCATGAAGAGTTTATGTCCACAGATGGCCTCAGCTTCCCATGAGAGAGCTACTAAAGGATGCACCTTAGCAAAATGAAAAGTGCACGCTGAGAAGGCGTGGGATGTACAAAATCAAGACTAAGTCATTTTGTCACTAAGTGGGTCAACAAATCTTCTTAGCTACTGACTTTTTACAAAGCAATTACAAAGACGGATGTGAACTTCACTAGAGCAATAACATGGAAAACGGAAGGGAAGAGGCAGAAGTGGCAAAGGCCCTTTTGTTGCTTACAAGAACAACTTCAGGCTTGGGAGGACAGTGTCGTGCACAGGAGCCTTAAAAACATACAGGCAACAGTGCAGGAACCGAAAGATGAGCTGTTGTTTCCAGAAGAGTGGAAGGATGAAAAAAGAACAGGGAAAAGGTCATCATTCCAACAGAAGGAAGGAAACAAAGGGGGAAAACACAGCAGACGGAAAACCCCAACGTGAGATGTCAGCATTACGTCCTGGTAGAGTGGGGTTCATCTCGCCTGTCAAGCATCAAGTTGGATTTAAAATAGGGTTGCATGCTGCTTGTATTCGAAGAGTATTCAAAGAGTATATTTGAAGCCAAACGACTGAGGTTAAGATTGTCAGCTTACTTTAAGTTAATGTTTTGTATGCTGTGTTTTTTTTTTTTTTCTTACCCCCATTGCAAGGATTAACATGCTCAATAGTCCCATCACATCAGTCTTCGGGGATTGGTTGATTGGCCGGATTCAGTTACCACTGTGGTTACAGCTCCTCCCACTTCACGGTGTTTCCGCCTTGGCCTCAGGGGCTTTCAGGAGAAGACTAAGGAAAGAGCCCCAAGCACTCCACTGGGGACCCCTGTCTCCCTAACAGTCCACATGTGGACGACTTCACTCAACAATTGCAAACTCACCCGGCCATTCTCCGGTTCATCCTGCTGCTTTCCCTCCTTGTTCGGAGACGCTGACAGCCACAGAGAGAACCCTTGCCGCCCAGACTCGCCACATCAACAGGCTAGAGCCTGCAAAGCCCAGACTACCTACCCCCTTTCCCAAGGTGGAGAACAAAAACGCAGCTGACGCACAAGAGCTGCATTCCTGCTGCTTAACGAGCGCGCCCTGCACCTCTCTCTGATGTCAGTTCCTTTGTTTTCATTTTTTCATTTTGCAGTAATTGAGAAATAAGGACTGTGAGGCAAGAAACAACATCGGAACAAAAGCCACGGCCGTGCTCCGGCCAGGGGTCGCCTTTTCAGGAAGTTCACGACGTCCCGGGCCCTGGTGCACTTGTCTCTTTCAGCTGACAGAAGAGTAATTAATCGCATGAAAATGACTTCCACTGGAGGTTAATTCATTCTGGCTGACAGTCACACGCATACGCAGCTACGTCTGATGCTGCGGCAGTTGAGCGAGCTTTATTTAGAACATTTTATTTATATCCTGGGTGATTTCACTCCCAAGGAATTGAGGAGGAGAAAGAGGAGTCGGTTGCAGGGATGCAAGAAAGAACATTGCTTGTCATTTTTTTTTTAACAAAAGGGGGGAAAATGGCCAAAGTCACAGCTGAGAAGTTGGCTTTCTCCCGAGATTTAGTGGAATTCAGAAGTGTCGCGGACAGGCAGCAGGTGTGTGCCCAGGGAGGTACAGTGTGCAGAGCAAACACAGAGCTGGAGGAATTGTCCAGTTTCCTGCCGTGCTCAGACTTCCTTTATCCGCTGGCTCCTGAGAGACCCCGGTGTGCGGCTGGAGCATGTTCCCATGCAGCTAGACAGTGTGGGTGCAGGGCCTTGGGAGCCGCCTCCTTGGGAGCCGCGGGGGCGGGGGGTCACCTTTGCCAATCGTGGCTGAACCTCACTGCGGGCTTTGCTGCGTGCCAGGCACTTGACAAGCATTATCACATCTCCTCCTCACCCCAACTCTGCCACACGGACACCGCCCTCAGCTCCATTGTAAGGACCTGAGGTTCAGCAAGGTTAAGGAATGTTCTCAAGTTTGCACAGCTAGTGGGTGATGGAGGCGGGGTTCCTAACCTAGGACTTGAGGCCGAGTCTCCTCCGTAGGCTTTCTCTTAACCACTTCCTGTCATTACTGAGACCAATGGGCCCACATCTTTGGAACACCTGCCAGACCCCAGCCCGTCTCCCTGCGGTCGTGAACTGCTTCGTTTTGCTCTGGGCTGGGGCATGGGTGTCGCCTCTGAGGAGCACTGAGGGCTCAGGCGAGCTCGTAGCCAACCTGTGCTTCCCCTTGTAGGTAAAGACGGCAAAGCCAGGGTGCGAGAGGGGCTGCTCTTCACGGTCAGCGTGCAGGTCCACCCTTGTTCCTGCTGGTGTAGACCCCGGAAGGCAGCAAGCAGGCAGTGGTTCAAGTAATCGAGTTCCCTCCACGCACACGTGAGACCAGGGTTATGTTCCCGGCAGCTCCGGGCTCCAGCCTGGCCCAGCCCCAGCTGTTATGTGCACTTGAGAAAAGAACCATTGGGAGCGAGTTCTCTCTCCAAACGCCTGCTCCGAACACCCAAGTATTTTATCAATCATGTGTAACCACGGGTGGTTGTCCTAAGAATCAGAGATGACGTACGCTAACCCAGTGCCCAGCACACAGCAGGACCCTGTCAGTCCTGCCTCCTGGCCTCACACCAGCCCTGTTGCATCCCCAGGACGAACTCCAAACCAGGCCGTGCGAGCGGCAGCCGTGGTTACCGTTACCCTCACCAGGTTCCGGGGCCTCCTCTGCACCTGCTTTGCAGTAACCAAATTGATACGAATCATATTTTAAAACAAGCACTTCTGAACAAAGGGCACACCTAAACACAACAGCTGTCCAGCCGGCCCGCCCGGTTTGCTCATACAATAGCTATCTTAATGAAATCTCTAGTTCATTCACTCCGAGACCCTCTTACGAGGAAAGCTCCTCTCCTACCAGAATCCGGTGCACGTGGGGCATTGAGAGACCTCCCGTTTCTCCCAACAGCACTGCCGGGGGGCTGGGTCCACTTGCCTCCCCAGCAAACAACATCCCTAACTTCCCAACACGGCCCTGCTGCCCTGCCATGTGCCTGGAAACAGGAGACAACCGTTTGTGGGGAACACGAGGCTGTGGCCACAGGGCCACACTGCCTGGCCTGTAACCTGGGCCAAGAGTGGCCTCAGGGCCTCAGATTTTCCGTAGGTTGCTGTGTGATTCTGGTGAATGAGCTCACACGTGTAATGTGTTTCACGCGGTGCTGGGCCCTCAGCTGTGCCTTCCAGCAGTGATAATACGGATAAGAATATAAGAAACCAGGGCCAGCACTGGGATTGTGGCACAGCACGGGTTAAGCCAATGCTTGCAACAGAAGCATCCCGTAGTGGAAGGCTGTCTCCTCTCCCTCTGATCCAGGTTCCAGTTAATGTACCTGGGAAAGCTATGGATGATGGCCCAAGAGCTTGGGTCCCTGCCAGCCACATAGGAGACCCTGATGGAGCTCCTGGCTCCTGGTTTCAGCCTGGCCCAGCCCTGGCTGTTGTGGGCGTTTGGGGAGTGAATCAGAAAATGAAAGGTCTCTGTCTCTTCCTCTCTCTCTGTCCCTTTGCCTTTAGAATTAAGTCAATAAATGTTTTTAAATACTGTTAAAAATATTATTTGGGGGGTCAGCGTTGTGGCGCTGCTTTATGTCCTGGCTGCCCCACACCTGATCCAACTCCCTGCTAACGGCCTAGGGAGGGCAGCAGAAGGTACCCCAAGTGTTTGGCCCCTGCTAGCCATACAGGAGACCTGGAAGAAGCTCCTGGCTCCTGGCTTCGGCCTCACCCAATCCTGGCCGGTGTGGCCACCTGGGGATTGAACCAGAAGATGGAAGATCTCCTTTTCTCCCTGTCTGTTCCCATCTCTCTCTCTGTAACTCTGTCAAATTCGTATTTTTAAAAATCTAATGTTTTATTGTCATCTAGAAATACACGTGGAGTGCCTGTGCTCCCGGCAGTATTTTTCCAGGCTGCTTTGTGCAGATGAGAGGCCCTGGGGTTCTGCCACAGAGCCTTTTGGGAGTGAAGTCAGAGTCTGCCCACCACTGGGGAGTAGGAGTGGGGAAGAGGCTGCAGCTCTGGGCGGTCCCTGGAGCCTCCCCACAGAAAGGCCTCAGGCACGGGGCTCAGAGAAAATCCCCAGGGAGCCCAAAGCAGGTGTCTTTGCATAGCCCTGGTTTCCTAACAGCAAACCTTCCGGAAACATTCTGCAGTGCAGAGAGGAAGGTTCTAGAAAGAATGGGCCCAGAGGCGGGTCACCTGGCTCCAGGCCACAGCAGACACCCGCTGAAACACCCACTGGCCATGGAGTTTTTCAGCGACCCCAGGAGCTGACAGTGCTGAGTGTCTCCTGAGCCCTGGCCGCTGGGAAGCAGCCGGGTGAGACGCTCCCCGCCTCTCTGTGTCCTGGGAAATGGCTTCTGCCCCGCCAGGAGCCCCCTGCCCCGTGGGACGCAGCCGAGACAAGGCCAGACACACACCCTCCACGTTCCCTCTCCACCTCCTACGTGATCCGCAGAACTGCGCAGAGCAGCTGGAACAAGACGCTCGTTAACCAAACTTCGGTCAAACGCCTCTGCTTGCCCAGACCCTTGACGCAGGCCCCTGGAGTGAGCCGCAGACAGCCCCTCCTGAGGCTCGGCGGGGCTGCGGCACAGGCCTTCCGTCATCTGCTGCCTGAACTTGTCCGCCCACTTCCCCTCCCAGGCTTTCTGGCCTGCCTTACCCCTCCGTATAAAAGAAACCCGTTTTTGCCTAACCTTGAACTGTCTGCAGAGTTTATGGTCCACGCGGTCTCCTATGGCAATGGCCCCTCTGTCGCGAGCTCCACCTCCTCCCCACTTTGCAATAATCCATCCGAATGGCATCTCCCCTTACGAAGTCCAGACTGGGCTTTCTGCTGGGCAGGGAAGCCTCGTGCAGGAGCCCCCAAGAGTTGTCGCCCTCCACAAGGTTTGGATTTTTCCCTGGTGACCTCCTCGATTCACAAGAAGCAGAGCCCCTCGCCCCAATCCGGCTCGGGGAAGGGGACTCCGCAGTCAGCACGCGCTCTAGGGGCTATGAACACGGACGCCCTCCCAGGGGCAGCTCCGCTTTCCCTGGAGGGCCCTCCGTCCCCCACGTCCTACCTAAGCTTTGCTGCTCCAGGACTTCAGCTTGAACGCGGCCCTATAGCCCCATGTCCAAAGGCCTTGCAGCCTCATAGCCAAACAGAGCTGGCCACCTCCCCCTGCGAGACGGAATTTCCAACTGGCTCCTTGCCTTGCCCCGGGTGCAGATGGCCAGTCCCCTTCTGGACAGGCTGTCCACAGCCACCTCTCACCTCTGGCACCATCTGCTGGCCCGGGAAAGGCCAGGTGGTGGGACCCACGGCTGCTTCGAGTCTGTGTCTCCTCCAAGGGGCGCTGCTGGGACAAGCTGTGATGATGCCCACTAGGGTCCTCCAGGACAGCTCCAGGGAGCCCGGGGTGCAACTGAACGGGGCTGTTTGGAAGTCGGTGCAAACCCACCCCCAACAGCCGAGTGTGTCCTCTGCTCACTGCTGGAGGCGGCATCTCCCGCTGGGGTCACCAGGCGCCCGCACACAGGCAGAGATGCCCCGCCAGGAGCCCCCTGCCTGCCCCAGGAGCCCCCTGCCCGCCCCAGGATCCGAAGCTGCAGCACAACCCCCGACAAGAGCAAGTTCTGTGTCGACTGCCTGGCTCGGGCTAGCGTAATTATTTGTTTTGTGTAAAGGGAAAGCCTCCTATATTTATTTATTTATTTATTTTGCTGGTGCAGCAGCAGACAGAGCCCCGTTTTTTCTTTCCCGAGTCGAGGCGGCTGCGCTGACTCCCTCGGACGGCGTTGCCTGTGTTGAATAATATAAGGGCAGCGGCCACAGCAAAATAACGAGGAGGTGCGCGTGTGCGTGCAGTGGCCGCGGCTAAGCCAGATCAGGGATTCCCAATCAGGGCTCAGGAGCGACGCGGGATGGCGAGTGTAGCATTGACTGCCGATAAGGACGTCGCCGCTAATTAAAGTGTCGTGCTTTCCTGGTGCCCGCGATTTATCCTGCGTCGGGGGCCGGGGGGTGGCACTTGTTCGCTGGTCAGGTCCTGCTCTGATAAGAAGTTCTCCTTGATAGCTACTGAGACCTCGATAAATAAAATATAGGGAAACAGATGAATTATTACTTAATGAATGCAGTGTTCGGGCGCTTTCTGGAGTGCAGAGGTTGTAATTGGTGGCTGTGGGTCGGCGCCGACGCCTGCCCTTCTGCTTGGCCTGCTCGGGATCCTTGGTCTTGTTTTCCTTAGTTGGAGCCGACATACAAAGAAAGGAGCTCCTTCACACATACCTGCACATGAAGCCCCGTGGACTTTCCTGAAGACTGGCCACCCCGGCTGCGTGTTGGGGGCAGCAGTCCCGGCTGCCATGGATGGGCCCCTGGTGCCACCCCCCCTCCCCACCTTCTGCTGAGTCCCAGAAGGTTCGAGTCCCAGCTGCTCCACTTCTAATTCAGCTCCCCACTAATGCACCTGGGAAGGCAGTGGGAGATGGCCCCTGCACCCAAGAGGGAGACCTGGATGAAGCTCCTGGCTCCAGGCTTCAGTCTGGCA